TCTTTCAGACAAGCAGCTTTGAGAAGGAACACAGAGAACTGTCCTTTGAGGCCAGCAGGCACACTTCTGCACAGGGCCTTTGTTAGCCATTCCCTCTGCCAAGAGCGTTCTTCACCAGACTCACTCTCATGGTTTGCCTTGTGTATTTCAAGCTCTGCTCAACTATCACCTTGTAAGAAGGGCATCCTGGCCATCTTTGAAAGAGTCCCTGTCCCAAATGTGATCGCGGTATTGATAGTGATCACAGTGGTATCAATAGTGATCACAGTGGTATCGATCGCTGGGCATCATCGCTTGTGGTATTGGTTGTCGCGCCTAAACTGGAAGTGACTGGAAAGTCTGTCAGCAGCAGGATGAGCGAATTGTGGTGTGTCCACACAATGGGGGAGACCTTAGCGTTAAGGAGGAAGTGACCATGGGTAGATACATCAGCATGAATGAATCCCAAGGAAGCGATGCTCAAGGAGCCAGATGGCAAGGAGTACATACTAAGAAATGCTGGAAGATGGACGCTTTTGTTTGGTGTCAGGAGCAGGCGAGGAGTCGCCTGGAGACCAGGAGTGCACACAGGCAGCTTTGGGAGATGATTGTGGTATTATACATCGGATATTGGCATGATTTCAGGGGTGTTAGAGCCTTCATTTCATTTCATAACACATTTTGAAAAGTGTGTGGTTTGTGGTATGTTACACCTTCGTGGGGCTGCATAACAAATTTTATACCTTGTGCTGAAAGTATTGGCATTCAGAAGCGCTTCTGCACAGATGGAAATAGCCAGGCCTCGAGCCACGGGAGGAACTTTCTCCTGACTTGGGTCTCGGTTGTGCAAATGTGGAGAGGCACAGGCAGTTGGCATCCATTCTCTAGGGCAGGACACTGTCCCTTAGCACCACGTGCATTCTAGAACTTGGGCCCAGAGAAATAGGTGGCTCTCTGGTGTGGGCCATGGATCATGGGGCAGGCGAAATACTGCTCTGTATAAAGCACGCTGCTTTCTAGTCCTATAGGAAGGCAGAGCTCTTCCCTGTGTTTTAAAGCTGGTTTCCCAGGCCATGCTCAACAAAAGCTCCCCTAGTTTGCAAATAAAAGTGACTCTGAGAAATCCCCCAGTGCTTCCCTTAGGGCTCATAGTGGCTCCAGCGTTAGAGGCCGCTCTCCTCCCTGTGAAGCCACCTTCCTAGGGCTGATTCTGTCTCCCTCTTCATCTCCTACCCCCTCCCCTACCCAGTTTTCCCCTTGCCACTACCTGGAGCTGTTGTAATTTTTAAATGTTCCTTCATAGAGGGTTGTGTGCCCGTAGCCTAAAGCACTCTTAAATGAAGATAAAAACACACAATCGGTGTGTGTGTTTGTGTGTGTGTGTGTGTGTGTGTGTGTGTGTGTGTGTGTGTGTAGTTACAAGTTGTTCACACTTGTCTATTTCCTGTAGACTTTGCCCACCTCTTCCTGGTTTTACCTTCCCGGTTTACCTTACATCTACTATCAATATAAACCTACCTTCCTTCCTGTTTTGTTTGTTGGGTTTTTGTTTGTTTATCTCAGAGCCTTGAACTTGCTTTATAGCCAGGATGACCTTGAACTCTTGATCCTTCTGCCCCTGCCTCCTGAGTGCTAGAATTACAAGTATGTAGTACTATGCCTGGTTTATGCAGTGTTGGGAATTGAACCTAGGGCTTTGTACATGCTAGGCGAGCTACACCCTAACCCCTAGAGTTTATAATCCTTGCTTTGACTTTGATTTTTTATTCTCTTAGTGTTTTGCAAAGTAGACTGAAAAAAAAAAAAAAAACAACTGATGGGTGGACTGATATTTACACACATATTTGCTGTATTATAGTCGACTAGTTTGTTGTTGTCTGTTATTGTGAAGCAGGGTCTTGCTAAATAGCCCAGGCTGGCTTTGAACTTGGAATCCTATCCTCAGCCTCTCGTGTGCTGGGGTTACAGGCATGTGCCGCCCCACCTACATCTGATTTAAACATTACAGTCTATAAATGAAGCCTCAGGTCCTAGGTGCTCAGAGAAAGTTCCTTAATTTGTCCCACCAGCATGGCCCTCAGGAGCCTCATGCTGGGAGCCGTGGGGTGGGGGTGGGGCGGGGTGTTTGTATAGCACATACCAGATGCAGGGAGGGCCTGCCAAGTACCCGGAGAAATTCAGAACAGGGAAAGCCTAGGGAGTGATGGAGAAAGAGGAAAGAGCATTTGCTGCCGGGAAAGGTGGCATGTGAGGTCTGCCAGGAGGGAAACAGCTCTGGACTTTGAGGACAAAATAGGACACTGCCGTCAGGGGAGAGATTGAGGACAAGCCCTGAGCCAAGGAAACAGTTCAGGAAGCCGAATGGGGGATGAAAGTGGCAGATGAGCTGCATTGAGAGGGAGTCAGTTGCCTCATGTACAAATAAGCAGTTTAGTATCTCTTAGCAACAAGGTCCCAGGTGAATCTGGGAAGACTGTGAAGGAGGGCTTGTGGTAGGTAACAAGAGATGAAATGTGTAAGTAAGGAGATGGGCACTGGGTAGCCGAGACGTGGGTGTGGTTGTGGAAGTGCCTGGCAGGTGAAGCGGGCTGGGCGTAGCATGGGCTGTGTTGTGTGGTGCAGAGCAGAGAGGCGTTGGGGACTCTCCCCTGGTGAAGCAGCTGATAGTGGAGGGTGGTGGTGACAGGAACAAGGAGAGCTGTGTAGTCAAGTGCACCCCAGGGTGTCTGCCGTGGTCCTTGACCTGGGGGGGGGGGGCGAGCCTCTGCAGAGCCCTGTGTTCCTGCCCAGGGTCTTCCTGTCAGTTCACAATGGAAACCCAGGTGCTCTCAGGGATTAATCATAGGCAAAGACTGGTTCAATGCTGTCATCCACAGACCTCACTTTCAACAGAGCGTTACAGTATTTAAAAGTTGATCTGTTAAGCTTTAATCCTCACAAGTCACAGCAGATTACAGCATGCCTTGGGCGGATGCCAGGCCCATGACAAATGCTGGCTTATCTAATACTAAAGCAACGGCGTCTTAGTGTTTCTATTGCTGTGGGGAGACCCCATGACACGCCATGGCTGTGGCAGCTTTTATCAAGGAAAACATTTACCCTGTGTTGGCTTACAGTTTCAGAGGTTTAGTCCATTATCGTCATGAGAGACATGGCAGCGTGCAGGCAGACATGGTGCTGGAGAGAGCTGAGAGTTCTACATCTTGATCCGTAGGCAGCAGAAGGAGACTGTGTACCACACTGGGCATAGCTTGAGCATAGGAGACCTCGAAGCTGGCCACCACAGTGATATCTTCTCCAAAAAGGCCACACCTCCTAATAGCGCCACTCCGTAGGGGCCAAGCATTCACACACGTGAGTCTATGGGAGCCATTCCTATTCAAACCACCACAAACAAATACTCAAAAAAGTCATTTTGGAAATGACGGTCATTAGTGAAGCTCATTTGGCAGTGTGATTTTTTTTTTTTTTTTTAATGCCAGCATCATTGTACACTTTGGCAATTGTAGCGTTGTTCAAGCGAGTTCCAGTCTTACTCAGAAATTCATATGCTGAGGGGCTAGGAGATGGCAGCTGGTAAAGATGTCTTCCTGCCAGCCAAGCCTGAGGACCAGAGTTTATTAATCCCTGGGACTATGTGGTAGAAGGAGAGAAACAGCTCCTGAAAGTTGTCTTCTGACCTTCACACACTTATGTGTCATCAGTGTGCCCAAACACACAGTAACTAAAATTACTATCTGGTTATTACTATCTCGTAACCGTATTTCAATTATCTTTTGTTTTTAAGACGGGGTTCGCACTGCATAATCCTGGCTGTCCTGGAACTCACAGAGATACACCTGCCTCTGCCTCCCTAGTACTGGGATTAAAGTGTGCACTACTAAGCCCAGTTATATTCCAAATTGTCTTTTTAAATGGTGCATATGTTTTAGCTCCCCATTCTGAAAATTAAGTTCCCTTCGCTGAGGGTGCCCGTGAATGCAGAAGTTCTGCCATTCTTTCTCCTGTCTTCTTGTCTATTCCTGTGGTGTAGACATGGGACCTGCTGCCATAGTGTGCTGATGGTGGCAGGGTAGGCTGAGCCCAGAGAGGCGGAACGTGGGTCTCAAGCGTATTTTCCATCTGGGGAAGGCATCTTAGTGTTCAGGGCTTGTATCTGCTTCTAGGCTGGAGCTCTGTTGTTCCCACTTAGCTCACATTGGAGGTGGCCTTGCAGCAGCTCTGCTTGCTTGTAGCGAACCCCAAGTGTGTCAGGAGGGTTTGACTCACCCCATGGTGAGAATTCAAGACAGCATCTCTTGCTGTAGGGAAATTGAGGGATTGACTCCCCAATTCCTGCCCTTTCTTTTTTCAGCTTTCTCCTTTTTCCAGCTACAGACCTATACACAACACACACACACACACACACACACACACACACACACACACACACACTCACTCACCCACCCACCCAGACACTCATAACTCTAGCACACTCATACACGCACCCTGTCTCTCACACTCAATGACACACAGCCCTCCTTTGCTGTCTATCATCTAACCCCACACACTCATTTCTTCACCCACCGCCTTCAGCGTTCACTCACATGCCTTCCCAGCAGACAGAAAAACCCCTGATCTCCCTTCCTCTCATTCCCATCATGTTGGGAGCATGCTAGCTGGGCCCACACATAGCCCTGAGGGGGTAAGGAAGTAGGTTGTGTTCCAGACTTTTGACTGATTGATTCTCGTATTGATTGTTGGTTCTCAGACAGGCTTAGGTTTTACTCATTGTAATAACTTCTCACAACTTAACAAAAGGTTCTTACCGTGGAAGCACACAGATCCAGTTCTTTCATTAGCTATGTGCTCACTTCTAAAACAAAATGAGTGCAGGTGGGTAAGGCCACCCACCGCACCATGCTGGGCCGGGTTTCCCGTGAAGGTAAATCATTACCGATGTCCCTTCCATCACCTTTGTTATCTTTGCTTTGGATGAGAGAGAAAGTTGAACGTCTTTTCTGTTTTCTTTTCCTTTCTAGATTCAGAATATGAACAACATCATCTCCTTCCCTTTGGACAGCTTGCTGAAAGGAGACCTGAAAGGCGTCAAAGGGGTACGAGCTGAACCCTGGTTGTTTTGACATCATGGGAATCACAGCACTGTTTGCTGTTATTCCACCCACCGCATGAGGCCGCAGGGATGGCGTCTGTTTTGTTTCCTTTAATTTGACACTTTGATGCCACCTTATGTGGGAACAGTGGTGCCTCTTGGCCTTTGGGTTGTTCTGTTGCTGGTGGTAAAGGAAGACCATGGTGGGGGTGGGGTGGGGGTGAGGCATGGAGGGGGGTTGGAGGGTAGGGATATGAGGCAGTTGAGGGTTCCTCCACATGACAGGAGCAAGGAGAAGCAGTGGGATCTGGCTTCCTAGCTGCTTCGTTGCTGATTTACTCCGAAGAAAGGATGCTAGGGAGGGACAGAAAGTCTCATAAGCATGAGCTGACGACGTGTCTGACCTCCAGAAGATGCTGGCTGTTTGGGCAAGCCTGGACACTTACACCACTAAGGCCTTGTAGTACTTAGTGAAAGTAGGGACTATTATTAGTCCTTGGGGCAAGAAGGATGTTTGGCTGGGTCCTTGAGAGACCCGGGTCTTTGTATGTGCATGTGATTTTTGGGTCTCATTTACGAACATATGGAAAAGTGTCTGGCCCATCTTGGGGACCTCTGCCTAGACCTCCTGCTTTGTCCCTTGAAAGGAAAGAACTGTTAGGACCACAAGGGACATTACTTTTTTCCCCATGGAGGCTGGAAGTTAGGCCAGCTGATTTACCAGGAGAAAAACAAAAACAAGGGCTATGAGGTTGCCTTCCACAGAGGAAAGACGTGACCCATAGTGGAAGCATGGATCCACACCAAGTGCCGGGCTGTCAGTTTCAGGAGGGCAGTTTCACAGAAAAACTTATGTGGCTGCTGGAGACGCCAAAATTAAACACAGAAGAGAATCTTGTTGAAGGCCACAGAACTGTGTGGGAATCTTATGGTAGACTTAAAGGCCTCAGTAAATTTTTTTTTTTTTTTTTTTATAACCAAGCCTTATTAGAAATCATGAATCTTGGTTGGGTGGTGGTGATGGTGGCGGCAAAAGCCTTTAATCCCAGTACTTGGGAGGCGGAGCAGACAGATCTCTATAAATTTCAGGCCGGCCTGGTGTACAGAGTGAAAACCAGGACAGCCAGGGCTACACAGAGAAACCCTGTCTCGAAAATACAAAAACCAAACCAAACCAAACAAACAAAAAACCTAAATTATAAATCTTAAGTTCTAAACAGAAAAGTGCAGAAGAAAAGCCCAAGGAAACGGGAGAACGGGATGCGGGCAGAAGTGAAAATGGATGGTAGGCATGTGGCATGTGTTAGCATTTATAGAAAAAAACGATGCTGTGCACGCAGCACATCTGATAAGAAGGAGTTTATTGGAGGAAGATAGAGAGCAAGAGAGCAAGATACAGTGGAAGACTCCCAGGAAAGAAAGCAAGGCAGAGAGGTGGAGAGAGAGCACAGCGTTGGCCCCTGGTGGCGGTGACCAGTGATGACATCACAGGGGGCTAAGCAACCTGGGAGCGGGCTTGTGAACTAACTGCCTGCTTTTTGTGCACGTTGCATATTTAAAATAATATGTATTTTAAAGTGAGAAAGAGGGAAAAAGAAGGCTGGCCAGCCCACCCCTAGTTTATCAAAAGCATCTGGTTTTATTTTCATAGGCTCCCACACGTGATTTCAGAGGCTGTGGCCTGTGCAGAACCAGTCTAGGGATAAGGATGTTTGTCTTGCACAGAAGTTAATGATTAATTGAACTTACTCGATGTTCCTCTGTTTACAGGATCTGAAAAAGCCCTTTGATAAAGCCTGGAAGGATTATGAAACAAAAATGTGAGTGCTTTAAATTTTATCTTCTTAATGTAGGTAATTCGAGATTTCAGTGTTAGATCAGGTTTTTGTTGCTTAATAATAAACCTAATCCAGGAAAGAATTTGCCTAAAGCTGTATTGCTGAGGCTCATGATGACAGGTGCCTCTGTGTCCGTTGTCTGCATTCGAGGTGGTGGCTCTTCCTAGTAGTTATAGAACAGGATTTCTCACTGTCTTCCTGGTGACCCATTAAACAAGACCCAAGTTTGAATCTCCACATACAGTAGTGGGTGTCTGTTATTGCAGTGTTCCTGGGGTAAGATGGAAGATGGAGACTGGAGAATTCCTGGAAGTTTGTGGGCCAGGTGGCCTGTTACAGAGTGGCAAACCAGAGAGTCTGTCTCAAACAAGGCAAAACCAACTGACACCTGAGGCTGTCTTCTGACCTCCGCATGCCCACCAGGACACACCTGCGTCCGCAGTTACACAGACAGACAGCCACACCTCCATAAACTGTTTGTTTGTTTGTTTGTTTGAAGTGTGCTCTAAGCTCTGGGTCTCTGTTTCTCTGAAACACCAGCAAGTCCCTTGGGCTTTTCTTCAGTTTTACTTGGTTGCTAGGAGGCTGTAGTGGCCGGGGCTCTGTGACCCTGAGACCTGACCGACTGTGCACTGAAGAACAGGCTTCTCCTAGTCAGCTGCAGGAAGTTAGAGAACCTCTCATTGGTTTCTCCTTCGGAAGGCAGGCAGAACTGGACTGGCCAGAAGAAGCTAGTGAGGGGGCCCCTTAAAGACTTCCAGTTATTTAAATACCGGGGAAAGACAATTCTTTTAAATGCCTTGTGTTTACTTTGTAATCTCTCTGGGGGCTGGAGGCATTGCTGAATGGAAAGAAACTTTCGTATGAAACCCTCTGGTGCAGTGAGGATGGCTAGGAAGGAAATCACTTCAGATGTGACTTATGTTTTAACCGGACTGTTTTTTTTTTTTTTTTTTTTTAAGCCATCCTGAGATTTTTTTTCTTTAATGAAGCATCACAAAGTGCACGTCCGAGCCGCACCTTGATGCTCATTCCACCTGTGGCAATGTTTCGTTTCTGTCTGGAAATGGCCGGGATCTCAGGCCTGGCGTTTGACTGGTGGCATCCACTCAGACTTGAAACTGGGGGACCCAGCAGTCTGTTCTACCTAGAGAGACTCCCAGCCCTGTTCCCTCAGCCTCTTTTAACTGTGATAAGTTCAGTGACGTAAGCAGGGATGGGCATTGCTGCTTCCAATTGCTGGGGACTGCCGCTTAGTTAACCCAGCAAGGGGATCTCAAGCTAGGGTCAGGAGGGGTGTTGACTAACATCTGTCCTGCTGTATCTGCGTGCACTTCCTCCCTCCATGAACTCGCTTAGGACTGTGGGTGGTTGGAGCGGGGTGGGTGACTACTGAGAACAGTGTGAATGGAGAGGCCTGTGGTTGTGAAGAGAAAGGACAGAATCAAGTAGAGTTTCAGAGTCTGGTGTGGAGGGGGTAGAACCTTTTAAACACATGGCAATCCTAGGATACATCAAAAAGCTTTTTTTTTTTTTTTTTAAACCCACAACCATGGGCGGTTCCTCTATCCCAAGAGGCCGTGCCATGTGTAATTACTAGGTTTAAGATGTCTTCAGGATTCCTGGGCAGCAGCTCTGTACTGAATATTTAGATACATGGCCAGCAACTTTAGAATTTTAGGAGGAGTCCAGAGGCCCCGATATCTCATGGTCACAGCTCCACTGAGGTGCCTGAATTCACTGAACGATGTCCCTGCCAAATGGCCTTCTGGTTCTTCACATTCTTCTCTCCTTCAGCTTGTTGGGTCTACTCCATGAGCCTAGACAAAAGAGTGAAGGACAGATGACCTTGCCTCTTCGACATATATAGCAGACAGACAACACGTACACACATGCTCACGTTCTACTTCCTGTGATGAGCGGGGAACCCTCAAGTAGCCTATTTTGTCATCAAACAGTTTTTAAAGAAAATGCCAGCCGTGTCTCCATGTGCCACCAGCCTTTAGATCCAGAGCTGTGGCCGATGTTTCTGTGTGGTTCCCTTTCCCTTGGTGGTGATCAGTCTATACCTGAACTGTATATGTGACATTTTAGGTAATGTAACTGAGCATGAGGTCACCGTGGAAAGGGGCATGAAGGGCGGATGAGCAGCACCATGCTGTCGTGAGGAGCACTGTGGAAGGTGGAGTAGCATGTAGCTTTACTAAATGAGGCATGGAGGATGCTATCTGAGGTCTCAGAGAGAGGCCTGGTGATCAGGCACGAAGGTGCGTGTGGGTCTTTCATCTCCTCAGACACAGATCAGGCCCAAAAGGTGCGCTTAGGTAGGTCTGGTGAGTAAGCTGCAGGAAGGCCAAGTCTGACATGTTTTTATGAAAACCGGCCGTTTGCTTTCTGTGAGGGTTAAGAGGCCGCCTGCTCTGAAGAGGGTGGTGAGCATTTATCTCAGGGGATGACCATGAAGCTTTCCGGTGGGGAGCACTGTGTGGGAAAGCCCTCCTGATTTATTCTTGCTTTTTCTTCATACATAGAACCAAAATAGAAAAGGAGAAAAAGGAACACGCCAAGCTGCATGGGATGATCCGTACGGAAATAAGCGGGGCTGAGATTGCAGAGGAGATGGAAAAGGAAAGACGGTTCTTCCAGCTGCAGATGTGTGAGGTAGGACGAGAGCAGGGAAGCCGTGTGGTGCGGGCTGAGCCACCGGTGCAGACTTGCTCTCCAACAGGGTGTTCTCAGCTGAGACCCACGGCTTTGGTGACAGACCAGCTAGGGCACAGGGCTGCAGTTCTGTACTAAAGGTTTGTTTTGGTGAAGGAATCGTATGCTACTGACTGGTGTGTGAGCTTAGGTTAGTCTAACACCAGCCTTTATCAAAGGAAGAGAGAGAGGACTGGAGACATGACTCACAATTTAAGAGCACTTGCTGCTCAGTTGTGAGGGGAAGGCTCATCCAGGCCAGGCTGCCCACAATTCCTGTTATTTCTCTCTCTCTCTCTCTCTCTCACACACACACACACACACACACACACACACACACACACACACAGTCCTCCCCCTTTTTAAGAAGAGAGAACTTAAAGAATATCCTCTCTGCCTCCCATACTTTCTCACAGTATGGCTACAACACTTAACCTCTTTCATGGTTTTAGGAGTTTTTATTGCACCTGTGGAGTCAGTGAAAGAGATGAGTGAGGAGTCAGCCAGAAGATATTCATGGCACCCAATAACATCCTTGGTATCTAGTTCCCAGATATCACCTACCCTCGGGTTCTTGCTCCCTGTGGCCTGTGCTTGAAAAAGGGGTAGCAGTGGGGCTGACCCCAAGGGCCTTTATGTAGAGATCAGAGAGCACAGAGCATGCAGACCTTTTGGTTTTGTGCCTTACTGTGAGTGAAAATGGCCGTGTCTCTCCGAGGCTCTGCATTAGTGTAATCCCCAGCACTTGTCATACCCCCTTAAACCAGGCACTATTTAAGGAAAAAAAAAAAAAAGCCATTATAAACCTTCCTTCCTATTCATCTCTGTATGCTTTTCTGATTTTCTGTTAGAATAAGTTCCGGTAAGTAGAATTTCCGGGTCAAAGAGAGTACACATTTTAAGTCTTGATAGGTTGCCAAGCATTTTATTAACGATTGTATCATTTTGGGCCACTGCCAGACATCCAATTAACAGTGAATAACTATCAAAAAGGAAGAAGAGGACAGAGGCAGTTCTTACAGAGAGAAGAACATTTGTTGTTATGGTTTTGGGGTGGCTTCCTGTCCCCCGGCTGGCTTGTACAGCTAGCCTAGGAGAGTTTCTACACTCTGGGAACTCATGGGGCTCAGCTCAGGTTGGCAGGTTTTCCTGGGCCATCCTGTCTTGAAGATGAGATGTGGCCTCTTAGTGGGGAGGGGGATTTATAGAGTCCTTTCTCTATACTTTGAAGGAAGGAATCCGTGCATTTCATAATGCCTGCTAAGTGGCCCGTAGTGGATTCACTGGATTGGAAGTGGCTTTGATACAATTTACCTTAAAGTTTACCTTTTTTAGCACTCATATTTAGGGAAAGGGCTTTGGGTCAGCAACAAAACAACCTCTCAAGTACTGGATTCTTGCAGTTAGTGTTGAAGACAGTGAGGTGACAAAGAAGGGGACTTGAAGCTGAGCAGGGTGGCAATACCACTGATCTGAGATCCAGGACAGCCATGGCTACATAGACAGACAGTGTCTCAAATGAAGCATCACAGGACCCAGGTGGAAGAATGAACATAAGATCTAAGACAGTTAGAGGCTCCCATTCGTTCTAGGCATCCTCCCTCCATGCAACCAGGAGGCTTGTCCTGCCTCGATGGGCTAGAGTATCCGGTTAGGAGAAGTGGTTCTTAAAAATCGAATTACCTGGCCATCAGAACCATTTAGTCATGTATGCAAAAAGTATTCAGTGTCTATCTACCATAAGCCCCAACCAGTCTACAAGCTGTTCAAGAAGACAGACTCAGTCTCCAACAGGGGGTATGGCTCAGTTGGTAGCGTACACACATAGTATGCACAAGCCCTTGGGGCCAGTCTCCAGCCCAGCGTGAGCCAGATGTAGTGTTGCACACCTGTAATCCCAGCACCTCCCAGGTGTGGGAGGTGGAAGCCAGGGGATCAGAAATTAAAGGCCCTCCTTCAAGGCTAGCCGAGGCTACAGGAGACCCTGTTTCAAAAGCAACTCCCAATGTCTTTCATGTTAAGCAACTGTCTGCTCTTTTTAAAACAAAACAAAACAAAACAAAACATCCCATCTGATTCTTATTTCTCGACAGTATCTGCTGAAGGTCAATGAAATCAAGGTTAAAAAGGGAGTGGATTTGCTTCAGAATCTGATCAAGTACTTCCACGCCCAGTGCAAGTAAGTGTGCCTTCTCTACAGTGTCTTTTTTGAATGCTCCTGCCTGGATGGCAGCGACAATCACTTGGAAATTACTGCCAGGGGTCGAGGATGCAGCTCAGTGCTAGATCTGGCACATGTGGGGACCCAGATTCAACCCCCAGAACTGCAAAGAAAAGAAATGGGTGATGGGGGTTGGTGGGCGGGATGTGCCTTGGGTTTAATTTCCGACACCACATAAACCAGTGTGGCGGCACACAGCCATGATCTGGATGCTTTTAGGAGGTAGAGGCAGAAGGGGCAGAAGTTTAAGGCCATCCTTGGCTCTATAGAGACCAGCCTGGGCTACATGAGATCCTGTCAGTTAATGAATGAATGAATAAGTGAATTACCATGGGAGGAAAGAAGTGCTCAGGCTACAACACAGATGGAAGGGGGAGACACAGGCCACTCTGTGAATTAGCCAAGTCAGAGGTTAAAGCACATTTCTAGTCAGAAAGCAGTTTAGCCTTACCACAGAGAAGGAAGAGATCGGACCTGACCTTCAGTGGGTGTGTGCTTGCTTTTGGAGGTAACAGGAATATTCTGGAATTGGTGCTGGTTGCACTGAAACCCACTGCACTGTGCATTTCAGGAAAACAAAACAAAACAAAAACATCTTATGGCTTGAGAATTATGTCTTAATAAAAAAAAATAAAAATAAATACAATATTTAAAAATTGACAATAATTGTCAAATACATTTTGTTGTTGTTAGAGAGGCCAACTTGCTTGATCTGACAAGACACGTGATCTCAGAGGCTTTTGTTGTTTTTGAAAGAAGGAGAATGACATTAATTTGTGTATTATATTAAGACAGCACTTTCCTAAATAGCTGGTCCTAGAAAGTCAGTAGGAAAGAAAGAAAAACGTCATGTTCTGGGTACTTAGCTTTGCTCTCTGGATGTCAAGCCTTCCACGTGGTTTCTGTCCCTGTCCCGGGCCCCTGACCACTGGTATAAGTACAAACTGATGGCTCCCATACTCACCCAGCACTCCTTGATGGAGTTCCAGCTTGTGTAAGGCTTTATGCAAAGTGCTGAGACTAGGGGATGTGGTTGGGGAAATGGACCTGGGAACGGAATGTTTGCCAAAGTGTTCTGAAGACTGGAGAGATGGCTCAGCTGGTCCAGAGGACTGGGGAAACCCAGCATCTACATGACCGCTCACAACCATCTGTCACTCCAGTTTCAGGGGATCCAACTCCTCTTCTGAGCTCCGAGAGCTCCCGCAGGCACGTGATGCACATAGGTACACTCAGTCGCACACACATACACAGAAAGCTAAACAAATACATTTGAATAGGTATTCTCTTTTGACGAAATAAGCCAATGAATTCAAGCCAAATTAAAGAATGTAAAGGCCAGCTTATTGGAGGCAGTGCTTGAGTGCAGAGAAAGTGTGCAGAGGAAGAGGAGGGAGAGACAGAATGTAGTAAGGAGTGTCTGGGGGAGAGGAAGCCTAGCCCCTGGGCTGGAAAGCTCAGGTAGGGACTGAGGGTTGCTGGGAGAACATGGAGGCCAGGTCCAATTCCATATGTTAAACAGGCACTTGTCCTGGGTCTGAATCCCAACAACGTTTTTAAGAGGAGTGGCCTGGGACAGTGGATTGTCATAGCATAGTAAGGGACGAGGTAGCATGGCTAGACTGGTCACAGTTGGAGTGGAAAGTGTGAAGCGGTTGGAAAAATCTTTCAGAGGTCAAGTGGCCACACCGGTTTGTTTACCTCTCCCAGAATGGGCTTTGCCTGGGGATGGTGTCACTGCCCACACCTTGTTCCTCCTCTGGAATGTTTCTCCTGGGCCTCCATCCTGGCTCCTGGTTCCTGAGCAGCAGCCCAGAGACGGTCTTTATTCATTCCCTTGTGCAGGGGTGCTACGTGGACGAGCCCACTTCTATGCAGCATGGCTGGGCGTGCTCACGGCTGCACAGCTGTCGATTCTCTGTATGGCCGTGGTGACTTCCCTGTAGCTGTGATCAGGTGGAGTGTTTGCTGGGAAAGACTGGCCCAAAGTCAAGAGGACCTCGGAATTTCTAGAGTTTTTGAGGTGGTTTCCCTGACAGACTGTTTAGCAGCTCAGCTGCTCTGTCCGCCCCGTAACCCAGCTGCCAGGCTGTGTAGGAAGTAGGTCGCTTCCTTGCTGAGTTTTTATTTTTAGGAAGAAGTTATTCTCAGATTTCCTTTTTCTTTATTTTGCACAAACTACCAGTTGGGTAGCAACAGGCCACTTGTGGAAAGTGAACTTGGCCTTTTATGGACACAAGCTCAGTAACCTTCTAAAACATGAATTTTCCTGTTTCCTCCTTGGATGAGTGCTGGTGTACGCGTGTGTGGGGGTTGTGTCCTTGAATTGCTTAATTCATAACTTGGGAGATGAAACAAAGCCTGAGAGGCCTAGCTCTCGAGCCCTGGGAACCTGAGGAAAGCTCATGGTGTGTGTTCTGCATACTGTGAAGTCCTGCACGCTTCCTCCTCAGGTATCCTGGTCCCTACCCTCGCAGCTACCTCACCACAGCTGTCTTCTGTGAGTGTGAGATGGCTCCATGTGGCATCCACATCCTTAGGATGACTTCCAAGCACCTTCATTTTGCTTCTTAAATTCATTTTTCCTTGCTAGGTTTTGTAGTGTTTTTTTTTTTGGTTTGTTTGTTTGTTTGTTTGTTTTGAAGTATTTTGAAGAATTCATTTTTTTTCTTTTTTTTTTAAAATTTCACATCAAGATAGCACTTGCATCCCTGAAGCAGCTGCAGGGAGAGGATGCTGCTTTGTAATAGAAGCTAGAAGTAGGGCAGCCTTTAAAACAGTAACTAAAACAAGACGGTTGCTCTGGGAGGGGAATTACCTTGCGCTGTGTGGGCACACTGCTCAGAGCCGTGATGACCAGATCCCACATGATGGACTAGGGATATTGCGTTCATGAGGCGTGGAAACCAGAGCTCTGGGGGAGTTTACATTCATGCCAGGAGAGGGTGGGTGACATGGGCAAGTCCTCAACAGATGAGGCGTACCTGTCCTGGCATGGTGGTAGTGTGAGGAGATTGGCGCAGTGTGTGTGGTCCAGGAGAGGACCAAAGATTGCATCTAAATAGTTCCGTCTCCAAGGCTTGACAGTCTGACAGGTTGAACAGGTTAGAAACCGACTAATGGGACAAGAACAAAGTCTGATTTGGTAACAGTTATGCTAAAAGCCCTTTGACTGAAGAGCTTGGAAAAAACGCTAATAGGCTTTGGGGAGGGGTCGATTCTCAAGGGACAGGCACGTGTGAGTGTCACAGTGACACTGAGGTTGCTGAAGCAGCTGGAGAGCTCCTTTACTCTGAAGCTGCTGCAGTGCCAGGCTTGGCATCCTCCACAGGGACGGCACTGACAGATGGGAGTCTTGAAAGTGAGAGTGGGAGTATAGGTAGGTTTGTAAGTTTGCCAAGGCTGTGACAAAGACAAGATCTACATTTTTTGCCCAGGTTTGTATCACAGTTCTGAGTGCATTCTCAGGTACACGTGTGTGAGTGAGAGCCAGGTCCCTAAGCCATCGGCTATACTCCCTTGCTCTCTCCACCTACCTCAGGGAGAATTCCCTAGTCCCAGAGGTGCCTAGGGCTGTGCACCTGTTCCCTCCCCAGGCACCGCCGCCTTCACTTGCTGGTGTATTTTCCCCTTTCCTATACTTGTATTCTCCGTCTCTTGATCGCCGCCTTTCTCTCTTGTGACCTAGCTACATTACCAGAATTTGGAGTGACTAAAGAAACCATTATATAGAGAAAAACTGTGACTAAAACATAGAGATCACCTGAGTTCACGACAGGAGCAGCTCAGTGTTTGGTTCCTGTAACTCTGCAGCTCTTCAGAATTTCCTCGTCAAGCACATACCTTTGATCCCATCACTTGGGAAGCAGAGGCAGGCGGCTCTCTGTGAGTTTGAGGCCAGCCTGGTCTACAGAGTGAATCTAGGACAGCCAGGGCTTTATACACAGAGAAACCCCTCCCCCCCCCAAAAAAAAATTTCCTTGCCAATTTAGGAGGCCCAGAGAGGCAGAGGACCTGCAGTCTTTGCCCTTACTCTGGTTGCAAACACCTGGGCAGATGACACTGACACAGGGAATCAATTGCCAATCCAGAAGCCTGTTCTGTGTTAAGAAAACAAAACCAGGTAAACCAAAAATGGACAGTGTCGTGTGTGAATATCTAAGGAGTTGGATGAGGACACCAGCAGCCTTGCCTGTGTATTCTGTTAGCCTGATGTCATGGTCCATAGCCCAATGTGTGTGTACGTGTGTCTGTCTGTTCGTCCGTCCCATCCCTAAGTTCAGTGACAGGATGCATTGTTTTCATGACCCTTTGTTTTGTGACATGCTTAGTCTGAAAGAGTCTCAGAGGGTCATAAATTGATCTCATTGATGAACTTCAAAGGAAAAAAGAAAAATCACCGAGGTGACTATGTATGTGATTCTGAGGTCACTTTCTTCCCTCCCCCCAGATGTGTGTTTGTCGTGTGTGTGTGTGTAGGTGGGTAGGTATGTGATACTTGCAGTCCCACGGGGTGACCCTGAGGTCAGAAGACAACTTTGGGAAACAGCTCCCTCCTTCCGTAGTCTCTTCTTCTGCTACTGTGTGTGCTTCTAGCCAATTCTCCAGTCCCCATCTCCATTCTCATTGTAAGCGTGCTGGGATTCGAATGCACACCACAGCTGGCTTTTTTGGTAGGTTTCCCAGGAAGGAACTTCTGGTTGTCAGGCTTATAAAACTGAATTTCCCTAAGCCCTCGGGAAGCCTTTCCTCCTATTCCCCTCAACAGGGTTTATTACTTACTTTTGTTGTTGTTGTGATAAAGTAGCTGATAAGAGCATGTGAAGGGAGGGAGGTTTATTTTGGCTCACATGTGTGGAAATGGAGTCTGCCAGAGGGGAAGGTTGTGGTAGCAGGTGAGGTTACCTGCTCATGTCATATCAGAAAGCAGGAGGGAGTGCTGGCCTTCAGCTTGCTTTCCCCTTTTCATTCAGTCCAGGCCCCAGGCATCCCAGGATGGGGCCACTCATGTTCATGTTGGTCTTCCCTGACTGGCTAACCTTCTCTGGAAATTTGCATACAGACCCAGATGTGAAATCTCCTAGGTGATCCTAAATCCAGTTTGACTGGCTGATGGTGAAGCTTCCAGGCAGTGCTGAAGACCAGCAGCTTTGCTACATTTCCGAGTCTTCTGTCAAAGTGACCTCACAGCCCTCAGTCCCTATCTTTAGGAGATGCCTTGTGATATCTAACCCTTAAAACCCACCATGCTTTTCTGCTGTGCAGATGCAGCCCAGCCATTCATGTGTGTCAAAGTTGCCTGGCTCCTCTCTTGGCCTCCTTCCCACTGAACTGTTTCCTGTTCTGAGAATTCTCTAGTGCGTACTCTTGTTTGTACCCCATGACTTTTTTTTTGGGGGGGGGCTTCAAAGCCCTCGCTGCCACTGTCAGGAGAGTCATTTCCATTTATTAACTAGAAAATCAGGTCTTTCGTTATGTGGGTCAAGAAAAAAAAATCACAGATGTTCAGGCTTAGTCTAATTCCTTTTCTGTTCTTTTACAGCTTTGTCATTTTATTCTGGTTTTGGTGGGTTGTGCATATTTCTGTTCCTCCAGGAATCACGTTCTGTCCTGCCGCCTTCCCTCCAATAGTCTTCTCCCTTGTGACACCGGCCTTTGCTTTTTCTTTCCCCCAGTTTTTTCCAGGACGGACTGAAAGCAGTAGAAAGCCTCAAGCCTTCCATTGAAACGCTCTCCACAGACCTCCACACAGTGAGTAGCCACACACACAGCTGCTGTCACCATCCAGGCCTTGGTTCTGAGACCTTGTACCCCATGGTGCTTCTGGAGCAGAGCTGAGACGTGACATGAACAGGCCACGCTCATGTGTGCTCGTGGGTGGCAGTGCCGAGGTCTGCAGCACCTGAGCGCTCCCCGGTTTTACTCTTCTCTGCTCTGTTTGCTTTTCAAAGATCAAGCAGGCCCAGGATGAGGAGCGCCGCCAACTGATACAGCTTCGAGATCTTTTGAAATCGGCACTGCAGGTTGAACAGAAAGAGGTGAGGGCATTTAAGATTGAAGGAGCACAGTTGTGTACCCCCTCAGCCCCCACACCTTAGAGGCTTTGGGTTGAGGAATATGACATCTGTGTCTACCAGGGGCTCATGGGACCGTGTCTATCAGCCCTAAAAGGTCCTTTGCTTTTTAAATTTTAGCTTTATAAGGCCGTCTGTTTTATGATATTTACTTCAGGGAGCGACAGCCACTGTAGGCCTGGGTGGCCAGGTGTGATGCTTTCTTGCTCTGCTAGTTTCTGGTAGTGCTCAGGGTTTGTCACGTGTGTACCTTAAGTTCTCTTCCTAGACTACTGTGATTTCCCTGTTCTGCTGAATGTGAACTCTGCCCCGTGAGAACGTTTGCCTGTGTGAACTCTTCCCTCCCTTCCCCATGTAAACTCTCTCCCATGTGAACTCTCCCCATGTGAACTTTCTCCTGGTCTGTGTGAAGTAGGAATGGGACACGTTTTCTTAAAACCCAAGACTGTTCTATCTATGAGGAGTTAGGCTGAGTGTAATGGCACCTGCTTATAATCCCAGCACTTGGGAGGCTGAGGCAGGAGGACCACCATAAGTTTGAGGCCCCAGCTGGTGCATAGTGAATTCTAGGCCAGACTGCAGTGTACATACATACATACACACATACATACTACACACATACATGAATACATATATGTATATATATGCCTTGTATAAAATATATGAAGATGCCTTGTGTAAAAATCAAAATGAAAGATGAGAAGAGAGCTGGTACAATGGCTCAGAGGGTGAAAGGCTTGTACAAGCCTAGTAGTCCGAGTTCAGTTCTCAGATACTGCAGTGGAAGGAGAGAACCAACTCCTGAAAACATGTCATGGTGCTCACATGCCCACTCTCACAGATGCCTGTCTCTCTCTCTCTTACACACACACACACACACACACACACACACACACACACACACACACACACGCTCTCACACACTCACACTCCAGTGGCCAATGATGGCTCTTCTCCATCATTCCTTTGGGATAGTGAGATATTTGTGTGCCCTGCATATCACCAAGTGATAGTGGTGTGGTTTTGGTAGTGTAACGACGAATAGCTTTGTCTCTAGTCTGTTGCTGAGGTTAGCCCTGAACTCACAGGCTTGAGTGATCCTCCTGTCTCAGCATCTGAGTAGTGGGATGTAATGGGAATTTAATGTAAATCCTCTTCCTGTTCAGTAAATTTAAATAACTACTTAACAGTGTATATTTCTTAGACTGTAACTGAATCTTGTTGTTTTTCTCCTAAATGCGCTTACCTTTCGTGACCGAAGTCTAGGAGAGTAAGTACCCAGTATTTTCACAAATTGCAGAGTTCCTCGTATTTCGTTCATAGGTATTTCTTCACACACCTTAATGGCTAGCTTTGTTTCAGCTTTTAACGTCTCCTCTTTCACTGTAGTACATGACTTTACTAAAAAGACAGTAGAGTTTGAATGCGTGCGACAAGTGGAATGGAAAATTGCCAAGTGTAGTTTAGGCTTCCGCTGTCACACTTTCATGAGATTGGAGGCTCTCAGTCCTGCACCCTTTTTCAGCGGGATTGCCTCTGAGCACCTTCTCCATAACGCTGCTTTGCTAGAGGTTGTTCACAGCGTGGTGACCTTTTCCTAGTACAGACAGTGCAGTTCTTGTGATCCTAGACTGTGGCCTCGAAGTAAGTAGAAGAGGCAGGCGTGAGAGGCTGTCATTGGTGTGGCCACTCTCCAGAGCGTCTGTGTGAATGGTGGAGAGCTGTTTTTGTCTGAGGAGGCTGTAACCCAGGAAATGACTCAGTGTAAGATGAGGCATGGCTGGGTGGGCAGCCACTGGGACACAGGGACAGTGATGGGTCAGGTCGTGCAGAATCTGAGCTCTGAGGAAACTGGTTGCGTTGGAGAGCTGTTTGCTGACAGTTCTGAATGAACCTGCCCAGGCACACCAGTGGCACTGGTGGGTGGGGGAGACTGTCAAATGAGCCTCCTTGTCTTTCGCCTAGCTTTGTGTCCAGTGGCTTTTTTTTCAGGCCAGGTTCTCCTCTTTCCTGGTTGTGAGGATGTTTCCTGTATCGTTTGCATGTTTGTGCTGTTGCTCACGCAGTCTGTGGGACAGTCTACGGACACAGTAGTATTTGCTTAACAAATACTAGAAGTCAGATCTTACATGCCTTTAAATGATCTTCATGATAGGGTTCTGGGCACGGCTGCTTTACTCTGCTTCCCTTTGGTTGGGTTCTCTTTTGCGACTGAGAGGTTCAGAAAGCTGAGACTTTGGATAGATTTTTAGCAGCAAAAACTAACTCTGCCTATGTAATAGAGAATGATGTAGAAGCTCAAACCATGGGCCCAGGGACTGTGCTTTTTTGCTTGGTAGGAGTGATGCTTCCTGCTACCGTCTATAAATCTCAGCTTAGGTACAGATGAAAAATGTGGCCATTAGTTCGGTGGCTGTTTTCTTTGCCGCCCTGTGGTTGTAGTTCAGTTTGGAGTCTAGGCCTTTCAGGTTCTCACACCTTCCTGGTTATATGTTTCTCCCTGGAGAGGATACGTCTATTCGCTGTCATAAAGAACCTCAGACTTAGAGAAAATAAAAACCAAATGGTGAATACCAGCTATCTGTGTCTCATGCTTGATTTTTAGAAAGGGTCCATTCTGCAATTGGTCCTGGTGTAGTGCTCATCTGAAATCCCAGCTTCTTGGGAAGCAGAGGCAAGAAGAACCCAAGTTTAAGGCCTAGCTTTGGCTACAGAGAAAAGTCAGGGCCATTGTGGACAAGCACAAGAGAACATGTTTCAGAATAAGTTAGCCAGGCATGGTGATGCCTATCTGTAATGCCAGCACTTAGGAGGCAGAAGCAGCGGGGA